AGGTAGGAAGCTCTGGAGGGAAAGGGTACGACAACCCTCTAATCTTGTCCCACAGTTGGTCAGGTTTACAGTTCTCATCTTATTTCACATTAGCAGCTTATGCAAGGTAACTTTTTCTGATTTCTATGTGGACTTGTATATGCTTTATCTAAACTACTCTGTCTGTCTGTCTGTCTGCCTGTCTATCTATCTATCTATCTATCATCTATCTTTCTTTCCACTAAAGAATCTGTTTCCACTAAAAAAAAACAAGACAAATTAAGGAATGTAGTCACTCTATTTAGAAGCATCACAAGCCCAATAAGGAATTATAATATACAGTGGGAAAGAAAGCAATATGAATTTGTTGTCACAGAATTGTTGTTTATCATAATAATCTTTCTAGTGAAAAGCCTAATTTGTTCTTTCTCCACGAATATTTTAAATATCATTATCATAATATCACAGAGACTGAGATAGTCCAAAATGCAGTGCTGACCTTGAGTGTACTTCTCAATTTAACATGTGGTCCTTTAACATTCAGGAAACAACTTGCCTCAATTCACTTTTTAATAGATAATCTGAAAATGTTCTCTTGTTCTGTGATATATGCCTGTGCCATTCAGATTCTTGAAATCTTTTACTATCCCATGGAACAGCATTACCAATGTAAATAGGGGTAAGATTTTTCACAATATCTAGGGGGAAAACTCCATAACTAAAGTGAGCTGCTCCCTTGGCCCTCTACTAGTTTACGATTTAATTTTTACTGACATTCCATCTCGTATTATTAGCTCCACAAAATGAAAGTGAAATAATCCTGTATTAATTAAAGAGTGATTGAATTCCCTCAATCATCTTTGCCTAGGCTTATTTAGACAGTAACACCATGTGGCTCTCCAAGGAAAACATGTGCCAGAAGAGTTTCATAAAAAGGGAGAGGGTATGGGTTTTGTATTGTACTTAAAACATTTTTTCATTTATACTTTCTCCAAAAGAGTATAGCAAAGATTTTAAGGTGAACCATATTTAGATTCTGCAATTTAAACATAGGTTGCTAGACCTAAAGAATTACTGATGCAGGACACTTGTGGTTCATTCACTGTGCCGATAGGATAAAATTATTGTGATGTTATTTTGGAGAAACTTTGTGTTTTTGATATAATAGGATAAAGAGCTGTATGGGGAATTACATGCATATATATGCATATGTATGTTTATGTATAGTTTATACTGAAAAGCAGATTTGAGTGTTGTGGCTTGTCTAAAATTCAGGCAGGGTGGTCATTACTTCTGCTAAATATAAATGAAAGCAGCAGATGGTTCTAAAGTAGTAATCTACTACCATTTACTGAAGAGTAGGCTAGCATGAAAAGAAATTCAAAGAATAAGCTTGTCAGTTCCTCTGTAAATATGTGTGTATGTGTGTGTGTGTAGGAAGTATATTGTGACCAGGATTATGCTGTACATTCTGAATGAAATGTGGTTTTCTAATAAACATTTCACTCAACTTCTTCTTTAAAAAGCTAGCACAATATATACTTGCAAATAAATAAATATGGGATTTGGATATGTGTTGTGAAAATACCTGGGCCTTTATAAAGAAGCATATAAGCCCTTTGTTATTCAGAAATATTATTGTAAAAATACTGTTCTCTGTCATGTTTTCATCTAGCTCTATCATACTTAAAGCAAGCTATAACAACTGTATTATTCTGATTAATGTCAGATAATCAAAAAGTCATTTAACAATATTTTTTCAAATTTAATTAAAAAGATAAGGTTGACTGGTATAAAAAAATAATATCCTTTGGGAATACAAGCATCAATAAAAATATTTACTTCATAGTAGACACAAAATTCACTTTCCTGCTTAAAGATGCATAGTATCTTACATGAGCATACTAATACAGATAGCAGAGATGTGAAGATATAGATTTCATTCAGAATATTTACTGACTTATTTCAACTTCCCAGGCCTGATTTCATAACTATTGTTTTGTGCAGGCTTTTGGGATAAGATTTTATATTGCAGCCTCTGACAAAGAGCAAAGAAGAAAAGGAGAATGCATGCACTATTTTGTGTTGTATTTTCCGTAACCTAGAGATTATGAAATAAGCATTCACCTTGATTTTATTTTCACAAGTCTTTCCTTCTTAAGCACTATTTTGAGAGGGGAAAAAAGGGAGCTATAATAATAGATTCTAACTTGCCTCATTTATTTTCTTTTAATAAAATAACTGAACTGTAACCAGCATACCCAAGTTGAAGAATGCTGTTGAAATTTCAGGCCCAGGTCTACTAGAGGTGACATTTTAAGTCTCAGGGGAGAAGACCAATTGCCTGTCAAGAATGCATAAATTATAATACTATGATTGTGGTCCCCTAAGCAGCATTACCATCAGCGAAGATCCATGTCTGTAAGGTGTCTGGCCGAAAGATAGCAATAGTTAATTTGGTGACAGGGGAGACACAAAATGATATGGATGAGCAAAATGACTGTGGACAAGGAAAGCTGAGCTGTGAGGGGTGGGGGCACAAAACAAAACAGTAGTTTAAAGACTATTTACAGCTGATTGTAATAAACATATGAGGTAAATTTTGTACAATTTAATGAGTATGATGTCACATTGTGATACATATTACTTATGAGGGTTTTTTTGTGTAAAAAACAACATATATATTAGAATCCAAAGAATAAGCCTACACCATGGTACAAGATAGTGCATCCTTATTTTGCAAAAATTTATAATGTTTATTGCATGTAATCGATATGAAGACAAACAGTATCCAAGATACAAAGTCATTCTTTTCATTAAAATGCTTCAAATGATGTTCAAGTTGCTTCATTTATAAAGCATGGAGAGACTTGCTTTATAACTGTAGCATGGTTTTGTCTCACTGCTCAGAATCAAAATTTACATCTTAATTAGAGTCTCCATACATAGCAAAAATGCTGCTGGTAATAAAGATTTTATTACCTGCTTTTCTATTAATGGTGGATACTCTTGTTTGCCCTGTGTATTTCTGATCCCCCCTCCCCGATACTTACATTTTCTGCATGTATGAAAAGCAGACTAGAAACTCTCCAGAGGATAAAGATCTCACAGGCTACAAAGCTCAACAAAACAAAGAGAGGCAAACATGTCCTATGCTTTTACAAATACTTGTCTTCTTTTCTGTCATTTCACTTTGGTGAAAGCCATCAAATGCATTTGGAGACAGCTATTGTATTCTCATTTGTGAATGTCATTATTGCAGTTAGAGGAGGTGCACTGATTAGTTTTGATCTAAAAAATACATTATTTTCATCACAGAGGGCTTCACACAGAGAGAAAGAGACAGAGAAAAGGATTGGATCAAGTCAGTTGAATTAGTGACAAAAAGTATTTTCCAGGATTAAAATAATTATTTCATCACCAGGTATGAGAATATTTTATAAATATAAAATAATAATTGCTTTTACTCTAGACTAGTTATGCTACATTAATATATTTAATTATTAATGACACTTTCAGGACACAAGTTCTTTCTCCATCCCTTCATTTTTGCAAATTCTTAGAAAACGGGTAGTAATATTGGCCCAGAGTCTTATATACAATGATTTACATCAATAGTGTATTAAGAAAAGGTCATCAGCTCTGGCATAAGGTAGCTAGAAGTAGGAAATTAGAAAGCTGGGTAATTTTGTAGATGGGTTGTAAGTCATGTAACATATTTACATCCATGTTCATCCTTGATTTTTGTGTGTGTGTGGGTATGCTTGTATATGCCTATGATTAAGACACATTAAATTAAGCCTATAAGATTTCACTGAATACAGACCAATTTGATACAGAATTATTCAGAATTGTATCATCTGACTTTAGTGGCATTTCTGTCAAAGCTACACAGTACTGAATATTAACTTTGCTGAAAAGTCTAATCTACTGCATTCCTGGAAATAATTTTCTTTGAAATCAATAAGATTTGAGTTAAAACAAAGACAATTAATACCCAAAGAATTAATTGTTCAAATTATAGTGGGTCCATTATTTCAATTAAAATATACCTGTTGTATCTTGTATGTGTTTATATGCTATGGGTATAAATCCATCTACCAGTGTATCAGTTTGTACCTGCATGCATTGCATCTATTTCTGTAATTGCTCTAAAGTTCTTTATCACACTTTTTTTAATATATATATTATATATATATATATATAATTTTATATATATATAAATTCTTAAGGTGATATTCAGAAAGGTGAAAAAGAATATAAGTGAATTACATGAGGGCAAACAAAAATTAACGGTGGTCCAACTCTAGCCAAGCTTCCTTAAGTCAACAAGCAGTCAGACCTGTTTATATAGAAACATGCCCGGGAGCTCACTGCAACGTATGCAGGCTTCCTTAGGAGGAAGTGCCACTAAGTTCAGTGAGAGATTTATTCTACTTGTCTTCCATCTTTCCAAGTAAGTACACTTTTTGAGTGAACCCGGAGTGGATAGAGTGGTAAACAAACCCATCCCGAGTTGGCCACGTACAATACACACACCATGCACACATACAGGAGATACAAGAAGGGGGGTGGGGAGGGAGAGAAGAGCAGTACAAAAGTATACCTTATGGCGATATCTTCTCAAAAAACCTAAGGCTGTACACCTTCCTGCCCAACCGTAGTTTAAGAAACAGAAAGCCCTGGTCGATTAAAGAGTTAAAGCTAGCCCCCGTTAGAGTTAAAAGCGCGCCGTGGTTTGGTTTGCAAACCACTTTTTAAGGCGCTGCGTCTTTTAGGTCTGCAGCGCGTTCTCAGTTTTTTTTTTTTTTCTCTCTCTCTCTCTCTCTCTACCTCCCTGCCCACCCCCCCGCTTCGCCTGCTCCGTCCGCTTCCAGTCCCCTCCGCCCGTCTGTACCTGCCGAGCGGCGCTCATTCTGTGCAGCCTCTGCTCTTGCCGGCGCTGATTGGCCGACGCCCTACCAATCGCGTTTCTGTCAGGGCCAGAGGGAATGCATATGTAAAGCCCTACTTCATATTTATAAGCTCCAATCGGGGCTTTAAGTCCTTGATTAGGAGCGTGTGAGCTTTTGGTCCCAACTGGCTGTGCCCATAGGCTTGTCACCAGGAGAACATTTGTGTTAATTGCACTGTGCCTGTGTCAAGGAAACTTTGATTTATAGCTGGGGTGCACAAATAATGGTTGCCGAGCGCACATGGATTCGGTAGAACTTTGCCTTCCTGAATCTCTTTCCTTGCACTACGAAGAAGAGTAGGTACCTACCATTCTTCTTATACCCCCCCCCTTCTGCTTTCCTTTCTTATCCTCCTCCCCCCCCGCACTTTTTCCTTCTTCCTAATGGTGGGGAGGGAAGTAATAATAAAAATATATATCCAACGTGAAAAGCCGCTTTCAGGTAATGCCTCCTGGCGTCTTGCGTGCATGACTAGAGCTGTATGTGTTCGTCTTGTCTCTTTTGTGCTGTGCTTTATCTGCTAATTCAGTAAGTGGAGGAATTGTTTTTTTTCTCTCGACAATGTTACCTTTTGAGTGGGGAGCGGCGTGGCTGTCAGTAAAACAGCTGTGCGAGTGACAGTCATTTCTTATTCAGGTACTAAGAATAGGCACTTGGCTTGGCCCGAAGACAGAATGAATTGTTTCAGCAGATCTCTCAGAAAGATACATTTCCTTCCCTTCTCCTGCCCGCTTCTCCTGAAAGGAGTGGAAGAAAGCTACCGTCTAAAACAAGATTTAGATAATCTTTTGATCTTTCCTCTTTCTGAGATTTCTTGCCAAGCCCGGTTGGGAGTGGGGGACCAGCTCAAGAGTTTAATCCCACTTTAAGGATAGTGCTCTGTAATTAAGGTTTAATATAAGGCTCCCGTCATTTACTGACAAATAGGTCCATTAAATAGCAAAGGTAGGGGTGCTCTATGTGTCTATGCATATGTGCACGTGTGTGTGCCACTTGCTCAGCCAATGTGAGCTTTGTTTGCTTTTGATTGGAATTTAAAAACAGCTATTATTCTTTTTTAATGCATCCTATCTAGTAAAATATTTTGTGTAAATAAAAATAAGCATTTGAGGTATATAGCACATTTAATATTATTGACTGCATGCATGTTCTCAGAGCTCTGAACTAATAAGTTGAAGGGGAAGAAGGTTCCTAAACCAGTATCACTTCACAACTTTGAGAGCCTGCGAACTTAAATTTGGCCTTAAAAAACCCTACGAGGTAGAAGCTGGCAAGGGGCTCAGCCTTTGACTGAATGCATACTATGACAATACTCAGAAGTAACTGTGTATTGTAGATATATGGTCACTAGCTGCCATTAGTGTTTGAACATTAAATTGGTGAGTCACAATTAAATTTGAGGGGGGGGTTGAAAAAAAGTGTCTTGAACATTGGCATATGATATACAAAAAAGAGTATGCCAATCAATGGGTGCTATAATGCTTGAGTAAATGGAAGGAGAGGAAGAGAAAGGATTCCTTATTCACCTGCAGAAGAATGTAAAGAAATTATATTAGAATGGTAATTGATACGCAGTTTGTAGGTCAGTCTGTTGATGTACAGTGTGATTTAAAATGTCTTAATTTGAGGCTAAGTGCAGTTGTCACTGCTCCAACTTGCAATGGCTAGCTTTTTTCTGTGCAGAAGACGAGAGAGGAAGAGAGAGATTCTAAACTTAGGAAGATGCTCTTTTTTAAAAGACTTTTCTTGATTTTTTTGTTCTTAGAGCTAATTTGAATGATTAATTTTGATAAGCTTCTTAAAGTAGATGCCTTTAAATGAAATCAGAGCATATGCCTTTTTAGCTCTGGTGGAAAGGTCTTATTATTCCTCCCACCTTGCCATAATTAGCTCTCCACTTCCATTTCTCCCTGCCCCCCCAATTTAAAAGTCTTCTGGATAGATCTGTGGTTCAGTGGGCAGGCAGAGCTATCTAGTGCCCAGAAACACAGTGATCTCTCTCTCTCTCTCTCTCTCTCTCTCTCTCTCTCTCTCTCCCACACACACACACACACACACACACACACACTTAATAAACCACAGAGTCTTACTTGTTATTAATATTGTTGATAATTGCACTTTGGCTTGTGGTATATTATACCAACCAAACTATGAATTAAGCTACAAGAATGAAATAAGCCAAATATTTCTAGAGTTTGTGCTTTAATGTGTGTGCATGGGGTGGGGCTTAGAGTACTTACAGAATGTGGAATGATAAAAATACAGTATGGTTTGAATTCTAGGTAGTCCACATTAAAGAATGCAAAACTTAAAGCCATCTGGTGCCCTTTTCAGAAAATGGAGAGAGTAAATGCAAATAATTTCAAAGAATAGTTAATAAGAGAATGGAAGAGATACGGTATATATGCAGATGTATATGACTTTAAATACTATAAATGAAACTCATCATTACACAAAATCTCATCTAACCTCTGATTAAAATGTATTGTTGGCTAAAGGCTTCTAGCGCAGACTTAATTTTACTGTTTTAACAGTTGTCACAGCTGTTGGAAGAAGGAAAGGCAATTGAAACTACTCAAAAAAGGGCAGGGGGAGGACCTCGCTTAGTACATTTAAACATGATCTCTGAATGCCAAGCATACAAAAGCAAATAGGCTTCTGACTTCAGGTATATTTTCTTTTTTGTGTATTGTTTTCCTCTGATCATTTCATTAATTTGAAACCTCAATCTCTATCACACTAATGAAAGTGCAACAGTTCTAAAATGAAACAAATCAGCTGTGTGTCATAGTGTAATTACTTTTAAAGATAAGCCAAGAAACCAGTTTAATAGTAAATGCACAGATACCAAGAAACTTTGGATGGTTTCAGTAGTCAACCCTGATGTCACAATTGAAAAGACAAAAGATGCTTTAGAGTCATGGAACTGAAAACTGGCACATTTTTAGTTTTAAAAATAGTATTAATTTGAGAGCTGCTGTATAGGGGTTTTTTCTTGCTTTATTATTATTTAAATAGTTATTAAATGTTATTTTTGTTTTAGTATTCCTCCTTTGCTGCATTGATCTTAAAATTTGATCCAGAAAGATGAGCAATATTTGGTACAGAGGAGGAGGGGTAATTAAGTGAAGAGAAAGTTAAAAGTGTTTTGTCACCTCTCCTTATATAAGATCTCTCTATCTAATATAGGTGACACTATTTATGCCCATCTGTGTTAATATAATATGCAACTCTTATGCAAAAATCATTGTCTTTCTTTTTTTTTTTTTTTTTTTATTAAAAGTTTTATAAATTTTACAAAAAAAACAAGAACAATACAAAACAAAAAACAACATATACAGAAAAAAAAGAAAATTAAAAATCATTGTCTTTCAATCTAAATATTTATTGTAATTATATAAGATATTAGCATGGCTGCTGCCTAAATGAGTTTTTTGGGGAGGGTTTTTCAAAATGATAAAATATGTTAACTTAAATAGACTTGTTATAAACTCATTACTAAACTTCCAACTTTGGATTTCTGTTTTTCATACATGTTTTTGGCAAAAAAAAATTTCAGCTGACAAAAGTGCAAAAGCTGGTGCTGAAAATATCTGACAGCTTTTTTATTTGCTAGGCCTGACTTTTTTCTCTCTCCAAAGCCGTGGTTGCTCATTTTAATGTGTTTATGGTTCTTGTCTTTTCTTTACTAAGCCTGGTGTGTTCCAGCAGTAATTAACCTATGTTATTAGCAAAGCCCTTGTGGATATCCATTAATTCTCTTGAATGGATGATCATTTTCCTCCAGTGTTATTTCCTCCCTTCCCCCGACATATTATCCTGCTTTAATTTTTTCGTAAGATTTTTTTTAAAGTACTTAATTTGGAAAATTGATAAATTGATGCTTTTGAAAAAAAACAGTAACAAAAACAGCATTCTTGAATAGTTGTGTAAAAGTATGTCAGACAAGAAGGAAGATTTCAATACATTTTTATTTTTTTAAAAAATAATACCAGTATAAGCTAATTTTTTTCTAATCATTTTTTTATTTTGTGACCATCATAAGTTAGGAGATGAATTTTATTCTTTTCATCTGAGCTGAAGTTACTCTAGACAGCAGTTAGTGCACTGAAAGTAAAAAAAAACCCAAAAACATATTAAGCCTTCAGGAAAATAATGTTTCCGCTTAGACTGCTGAGGACAGATAAGGACTGCCTCATTAGCCAAACCCCACTTTTGCAATTATTTAAAAATATATGAAACTATACATCAAACATAAAAGATAACTTGCTTCTGATTATCTTTGTAATTCTTGAAGCCACTTTTCAAAACTGAGCTTAATTGTATTACATTCTAATAACACAAGGTTTGGTTTGGTTGTTGTTTAAATAACAGCATACACATAGCTTGGCAAATTTCCTGGTATTGAACATTTCTGATGCACAGTGACCTTTGTCTTGGTGCAAAAACAAATAGAAATGAACAGCACTAATATTTATTGACAGTCTTAAATGAATGCCCTCTTATGAATATTGTTAGCCTGTTACCAATCAGCAAAAATGCTGAATGTTAAGAAATTTAAAGTAAATTGGATATGCTCCTCTAGAAGCTTAAAACAACTTGGTTATTTTCCATGTGATTTGGATTTTGCTTTGTAGCATACACACTAGAGACAAAAACAATAAAATATTGGTTTCTGTCTAGTTCATCTAGCAAGCTCTCAAGAGGAAATCTGTGATTATACTAGGCTGGTTCGGTTTTTATCTCTTTTACATTCATTGGTCTTGTATTAAATTGTCATTGTCCTAGAGCACATGAGAGAGAAGGAAATGAATTGCACTTCTTGACATTCTCTGACAGTGAAATATTTAACTTCTCTGTCTCCAATCATACTCATATGTACATGTTTGATAGCGCTGGAATGACAACCAGCAGTCCCTGTTAGTCTGACATCCCCATTTTACAAGTTTGCCATCATTTGGGAACCAATTCTCCTTCTGTTTCCCTTTAACACCAGTTTTACTTGGCTGGGGCATATCAGCATCTATTTAAATTGATATAAAACAATTCCACATTTTATCGCAGCTGATAATAGTTGCATAAGCATGTGGTTGCTTGCTTGTGCATATTTCACTGTTATATCTGTTTGCCTATATTTGTGTGTTATAAACATAATGTGTGCAAACATTTTTGAAACTTTTTTATCTTAAAAAATAAACTCTGTAAGAACAATGTAGATATTAGATTGTCCTGATTCTGTCCTTTTTTTTTTAATTGCCGGTGCATTCCTTTAGATATGTAATCCAGCTGCTATCATTTTCACATTTATTATTTCATGGGACAGAAAGTTTAGGATGTTTATCTTTGCACTTCTAGATATAATAAAAGGCTTCATTCTGCCGACATGCGATTAGTTTAATATTAGAAGCATTGGTCTAAAGAGAAATTAAAAATCCTTTTTTTAAACAAAAAACATTTGTTAATATTCTGATACAACTTTTACTATTTTGGTATTCTAAAGAAAATTAATTTTAAGATTTTGTTTGCATTCCTCCAAATTGTAAAGCATAATTAAAATTAAACTAATATTATATTTGATTAACTGTATGCCCAAATTCTAAATACTTCATTAAAGAAAAGCAAAAAGAAAAAAATTAGATTCTAAAACACCAAATTTACAGTTAAACTTTATACTAGGAAATAAGAGCTCAAGATGTTAAATAATATGTATACCCTAAAGCATATTTTGTAACAATGCTTCCATACTAATTGGAAATACTAATGTGAAACAGTTATCCTCTATTGTTTAAATATAGACTTATTTCTATAACTTATTTTAATTTCCTAAAATATTTTTTTTTGCCTAGAGTTTGCTTTTACTATTGTTATTTAAGATTTCTGCTTTATTCTATTGCTAATTATTATTGAATGTGCTTACATACCATAGACAGAGAATATATGTGTGTGTGATTGTAATACACACAAACCACACACATACATCATGTGCTTGGAGATATATTAGACCTCTGCATTATGGCTTTCTCCTTTATTTGCAGTTTTAGCATAAGACATCTATAAAATTGGATTTTTGTCTCTCAGTGAAGTTTGTACTGAAAATTATGTCTTGAAGAGGGAAATATACTAGTTTGTTAATCAGTTCACTTATTTTCATGTGCAAATAAAGCTTTACCCACACACACACACACACACACACACTCACACAGAGCAAAACTGATCTTTTATTATACTATAGTGACTTGAATGTCAAGAGTTTCAGGTTTTTCAAATTGGGATCTTTTCCCACAAATAATTTATTAATACAGATATTATTGCATAATTATATATGCTTGCTTATGAAGTTTAAATTATGCTAGCAATTTATGGCAATTTAGTCCAAGGGATCCTTTTTTTTATACCTAACCGAAATACATGAGATTAAGTAACTGTAAAGCTTAGGTTTGTTTTTTTATCCAAGCTGAATTTGTACATTCATCCAACTGAGGATTAATCTAGAAGTTTGACTTTTTGTAAGCATAAATACGTGGAAATTATATGAACATTGACCCAAATTGCTTATTATGTAAGCAGAAGATACTGTGTTTATATAAGGAGAAGATTGATCAGGAATGCCTCTAAAGTCCATAAAGGAAGGGCACAAACAGATGGGCAACCAGCAACATCCCACATATAGGATAATTCCTCCACCAGTGTGGTAGATTTTTTGGGATGCAAGCCACTGAAATAAATGAAACATTCTTTGTGAATCCTCCTGAAAGAAATGGGAAAACAAAATTTAGGTAGACGTTTGTCAGGATATAGTCCATTTGTATTTGTTTGCAAGCTGCTATCTCACTTATTCTACTGTGTCTTTTCAAGTTTAGAGTGAGGCAGAAATGCACATCCCCTTTTCATCATTTTGATTGGAACTACATGCCATATGTAATGTGTTTTGGCAGCACTTACCTAGCCAAACAAAACAAATTAATATTAGCCATGCTGTGGGCATCTGAAGTATCACAGATGTGTCAATTTAGCTTTGCTCTGTCATACGAGTTTTCCTTAAACAGCTGGTTGAACTGTCGCAAGATGTTGTAAGGGCTACAAAGAGAGTTTTAATAGGTGTGATCAGTGATTGAAGGCTGTGGCTAGTTAGAATCCAAACATGTTGCCAATAAATAGGTGCTTGTTTTCAGCCTTCATGAATAAATAAATAAATAAATAAATAAATAAATAAATAAATAAATAGGGAGTCAGAACCTAGAAAATCTCTATTCATACCTGCTCTTTAAAAAGTCCAATCTAAAGGCAATAAGTAATAATGAGAAAAGCCACATGGAATAAAGTTGACCGATTTCTAGGCAACAATTAAATTCCTTTTTATATATAGATGCAAGTGAATAAGGAAAGTAAGGTGTGCTGAGTCATGGGATTTTGTTCCTTTGTTTCCTCATAATGTTATCAGAAATAATATTGCAGACAATTCTTATTCTCTTCTAAAATCTGTGATGTTTTAAATGTTTTATAAGTTTTATACAATATGATACATTCAACAATTAGAAAAATAACATATCATGGATGACATAGCATGTTCAATCTGCTCTTTAAAAAATGTTCCACGTATAAAATATCAGAAAACAAGCACTGACTTTTCTGTTTGTATTTACAATTGCCTATTTTGTTTATTTCCAAATACATTTCCACTTTTTGTAATATCTTGGGACTTGCTGTAGGTTTTAGCTTGATTTGTAAGTTAAAGGTTCTCTTTTTTTTCTTAAATATTCCCAGGTGATGTCAGATGAAAAGGGTATTATGGCTGAAATATACACCAGAGGAATTCATTTTGGCAAGCCTGGTCCATGTAGGTTAGTGAATCAATAAATAAATAAATTGTTTTGTTTTTTTGTTTACTTTAAGTTGAGCAAAGACAGAAGAAAGGAAAAGATAAGAAAATGAATTTTGAAAACAATATCATAATATTTATATCAATATGCAAATAAATGTAATGGTCAATAAATTCTGTATAAAATTTGCACGGAGAAAGATATTTTCCAAATTAGCATATTAATAATTATTTTCATTATGAAGTATTTATTTTATCAACTTACAACATTTATTCTTATTAACATTTTCTTAGCAAGGGTATGGTCCTGAGGTCTGAAATGGCCTAGGGTTCACTTTTTAAAACATTTTTCCAAGAGCTGTAGAAATGGGAGATGAGATTTCTGGGCACCATACATTAGGCACTGTATGGTTATATCATTGAATAATTTCTACTTAAGAAGTAGGTCATGTTAGCAAGAGCTAATACCCACTGCTAGTGATTTACATTAATATGAGTGACACCTGTCCCATCAATCATAAGGACCATAGTTTCACAGATGGAGAAACAACAATCAGGTGAATTACACAGCACAGCACACTTGGCTTAATTCATCTCATTGTTTTCCTACTAATCCAGAGAATGGCTTGTTCTGCTCCTGAGACTAAATCACAAGATGAGTTCTGCTCAGGTGGGAGCATGTCCCAGCCTTTAATCTGAAAAAATACTCCTTCAAAGGAGTTGGAGACAGTTATTCCTCCATTCTCTTTGGCATTTGGTGGAACAATGACTGTAGAATATATATTCCTATGGTATAAGTAATTGCTTTCTCTACTCATAAGTGAATTAAAAAATATACAAGTTCAAGAAACTGTAAGCTGCGTTAGAACTTTGAAGCAAAGATGTCAAAAATTTATGAAACATTAGAACTAAATTGATCAGTTGCTTAAGACTATGTTTTTAAATTATAAGGCATTATCAAAATAAAAAAGCAACACATACAAACATAGCTGATACACCAAAATGTTCACATACAGCGAACTTAGAACAGTGTTGGTATGTCCCCATTATAGGAAAATCACATTAAATCTGAAGTACAATTCTGGTTCTATTCATGCCACCTTTATTCCACCTCTATTCTAATGTCTGTGGTGCTCTTTATATAAATAGAGATTTCTTCTTGCCTGTAGTTTGAGAAATAGTTTGGGATACTATACACGTTCTTCATATTTTTGTGATTCTAATATCACAAAACAGCAAACCTGTGGCATGTTGAAATCAGTCAGCAGTTCTTCCAAGATACAGCTTGTGTTTGATTGTGTGTAAATACAGTTAGTTAGCTGGGTTTATCTGATAGCCTGGCAGAAAGAGAGAGAAACAGGACAATCTGTTTTCAGTTACTGTGCTGTTCATACACCTGATAAGATTGAGAGTACTTTCGACTGCTGATACGTTTTGAATAAGAAAAGAATAATCACTTTCACAGGCACCAGCTTATCAGAAATGCAGCAAAATGCCAACACTTTTACATTAGCAAAAGTAAATGTTTTAGACAAGTTATGACTTCCCCCTTCATTTAAACTGAATAGTAGGTTACTTGTAAGTATGCAGTTATTAAGCATTCACTTATTTTAAACTAAAAATTAATATATTGGGAAAGATGTCTTTTTGTAACAGTAAGAGTTATTTGGAAGTAAAATTTCAAGTAAAAATATTTCAAGTAATCTTCAAATTTTTTTTTGTCTCTTTCATCCTGTTCAGTGCATATCCATATTGACAGGGAATATTAAGTTCATAATTCCAAATTTCACCATTGTGTTTTAATATATGAGATCTGAAAGTCAATTCAGATCAGTATCTGATGTTAAACTGCTGAATATCTTGATATACACCACAAAGTGCTGCATTTAAAAGAAAAATAAAGCAGAAATGTGTTCTTATTTAGGTTAATTTTGGTGGAGACAAATAATTAAATATATCCTAGGTTTTTTTTTTTAAAAAAAAAAAAGACATGCAGAATTAACAAATCTGAAAACAGAGAATGAATGTGTTATCGTTTTTTTTTATTTTGACTCGCTTTCCATGATAGTAATAAAAATATAATATTTATTATCTTTTGCCTCTGGCTTAGATATCTTTTAGATATTATGGTAGTTTGAGACTGTTGTAATATTGTGTTTTAACAGTGTTAAATTTCTTTTCAATCATGCAGATAAATTTGGTGTATTCAGTTGATAAAGCAAACCACAATAGATTGATTTGGAATTTTTATTGGTTCCCCTCCACAAAATCACTGTTACCCCTTTCCTTGTTCTCTACCTCTAACTGAGACAGGGACTTTGAGAACAAATGTTGACAAATTGATTAAGCACTTGTACTGTTCTAGTTTCAGTATGCTTTTTCAATGCACATATGTTTATTGGTAGGCTCATTTTTGCAATGTAAGACATTTAAAGAAAAATATTCAGTTAGATTTATGAAATTTTAGCTAAAAATCACTGATTTCATTTGAGTGTAATGATTACTTGAGGCGAACTTCATGCTTTAGAACTATTGCTCAAAGGCTTCATTCTGTGAAGATGTCAACTGCAAATATAAAAATGCATCACTGAAAATACAGTGGTTTAAGATTCAAACAGAAATAAAATTCCCTGCCTGGGGAAAATAGTGCCATGAAAAATAAAAGAGAAGTCGTTCCTTCTACTAAAGCATTTGGAATAGTGAGTTAAAGCAATAGGGTCCACCACACTTTTATTTCAGCCACACTGAATAACAGAATAACAGAGTTGGAAGGAAACTTGGAGGTCTTCTAGTCCAACCTCCTGCTTAAGCAGGAAACCTTATACTATTTCAGACAAATGGTTGTCCAATCTCTTCTTAAAAACTCCAACTTCTGGAGGCAAGTTATTCCACTGATTAATTGTTCTAACTATCAGAAAATTTCTCCGTAGTTCTAGAGATAACGGCAGAGAAAAACAATATTCTATAAATCCACATATACCAATAAATAATTATATGACATCATTCCCAGTGAAGCCCATAAAATGTAACTAAGCAACTTCATATTCTATACTACAATTTTATTGATTGATTCAAAATGCTTTGTTTTGTTTAGCACTCCTGTATCTCCCCCCCCCCCCAAATTGGCTATTACATAGTATTGTGAATTCAGATCCTAATCATATGGCTAGATTTTAAACCATAGAGCTCCACAACAAAACACTGTGAAGACCACTCACTTTTTAGTCTTTTCTGCTATTTTTTTTTTAAAAAAAAAACCAGTATCTTTCTCTTGGTTTCACATATGACCAGGGAAAGACTAGGAATTAGCTAAGAATGAATTCTGTTATTCCCTACTCTTGCAGTTCAGAAGAAATATATTACATTAACTCCAATACAGACTACAGAATTGCACTGACATCAGTCATAATGCCATATCTAGTTCTTACTTTGTGCATTGATTTCAACTTTTAAATGTTTGAGGATTCCAACAGTCAGTTGTGAAGTTCTGAGCTCAGCCACTTCACCAAAATGAACTGCTGTGGAAGTAAGTGAGGGTACAATCAGCTCTTCATTAAAGCAGAAAGCTTGTTATGCAACCATCTTCCAAACAGTATGTCGCTAAATAAATTCTTGGTTCTGTTTGGAAGAGCTGAACAGCAGTATACTGTAGGGTAGAGCTGAGACTAAGTTATAATACCTATTTTTCAGGGAGAAGCACCTTGGGCCAAACTCTCCATTTAGAACTGGGAAGCACTGACATTTGCAAAACTAGAATGCTATAGCCAGCCTATATTTTATTAAGGCTATTGATTATAATGTACTGTACTAATTATAATTGTACATTATAATGTACAGTTGTACTGTACTGATAGAACTCTGAGAGATTTCCTGCAAACTAGGTCAGGTTTCTAACTACATATGTCATAATAATACCAGAAACTAAAATCATTCTGTTTTTAAATTTGGTTCCTAATTTAGGGGATACTGAGTGGCTTTTTGAATGAAAGTACTTACAAAATTGTTTCTGGGACTATCTGCAAATTCCCCAATTGAATCTGTGCTTAGGATCCATGGCACTCTGATCTAGCACAGGGTATGACACTGTTTTGAATTCTTATGTCAAGTAACCCTTGACATTCAAACTGAGGACAAACTAATGCACCAACAAAGAGCCTATTAGCCCATTATTGGTGCTAATAATGCCAAGAGAGATGGACGAGTGCTATCATTCATTTCTCTTTTGCAATTCTTGGCTTTGCTAAAGAATTGCAATGGTAACTATGGTGTATTGCATCCCAGAGAAAAAGGAGAAGAAAAACAAAATTGGGAGTTGGGTGGTGACCTAGGAATGCTCAAAGTCTACACAGGACAAAAAATGCTAGTTACGGTTTTTAATGTTACACATCTCAGCAGAAATAGAAAATCTGTAGACCTTAACAGCATATCAGAAAAACCTTATACTGATTAAAACAGCAGCAATTCTTTCTAGGTTAACTTCCATAGAATTGTGCTTTATAATGTTCAGATTGACTAGACAAATAAGATTTGTTTTTGGTAGCCATTCTGTCAATGTGAAGAAAAAAAAAATCCCATGTATGTTCAGAAGACTTAGCAGAAAAAGATCATATAGTATGGTTGTATTTTAAAATACTTTTATAACTGAAATTGAAAATACATTCAAGTTTTATGTGAAATATAGATATTTATGATACATATTTACATAATTTTTTAATTATTATTGCTATTTTTTCAAACTATCATGAGAAAATTCTATATAAAAGATGTGATCATCAAACGAAATCCTTAGAAATAAAGTAGGAGATTGCTGGATACATGTCTTTTTATGTCTCATACCTTTATAGAAAAAGAATGAGGCCTCTAATGGAATGAAACTTTCATATTCTGAACAAAATGTATACTGAATATATATGAACAGCAGCAAGGATTTTAGCTTGTAAGGAAAATGTTACTGTACTAACAGTACAAAAATACACACGCACTTCAAATATATGTGCACTTCTTTAAAAAATTAGAATTGGC